TGGTTCAAGCAGCTACACTGAACACCTTCAGGAGTTAATTGGATGCTTATCTTGCTGGGATCCTATGACCCCAGCTGACTTCCTGCCCTTTGGGCGGGGGGGCTGGACTCGATGATCTTCTGAGGTCCCTTCCAGCCCTAATGTCTATGAAATCTATGAAATTTTATTTTACAATACATGGAAAAATTTACTTTTTTCAGTTTTTGCTTCATTAGGATTTCTCTCCCTTCTATTATCCTCTTCCCCTTTCTCACAAGGAGAAGAGAAAAGGAAAAGCAGGAGAGGAAAAAAGAGAAAACAAGTCAAACTGAAATAGAAAAATTAAAAACCCAACACCTTTTGTGAAAAAAAAATTGATGAAAAACTCATTTTCAAAATCTATTAAACAAAACTTACATTCCAATTCTTCATTTTTAATTAGTTCTACCCACTATAGTTAAAATAATTTCTTGTCCTCTGCCAGGTGATATCTTTTCTCGGTAATTTTTACATTTCAGGCTATATCAGGGACCCTTTGTTACTTCAGGAGAATTTCCCAGATTGCAGAAAGAGACGGCAGAACTTGTCAGCTATACCTGAAGAATATCACCTGCTGCCTGTGTTTCCATCTTTCTGGGCAGAACTGGACCAAAATACCCATCCAGATATAGTAGAAGGTAATTAATTTTTTTAACTACTTTGTGTAAGATATTAGGTTCTATACATCAATGTATGCCTCCAGGCAGATCAGGTAAATATTGAAGTCTTTTTTTAAGAAATATGTTTTTGTTAAAATGATCATCTTTGAGATAGGTTTCTTTTCTAGGAACTTTCATAGAAGGAATATATTTCAAAGATTAATAATGGGAACTTTGAGATTAGAACCAAAACCTACTGAATCCTTCAGTGAGATCCATAGATAAAATAAAGGAATGATTAAGCAGTACTACCAGGAGCAAGAAAGAAGGACTTAAATGCACACCCTTTGCTTACAATTAAGGGACCTATACATTGAAAGTTCACTTCCTTAGTCTTCTTTTTAGTGCCAAGACAGTCATAACACATTTGCAACTACAAGAACCCAGGCATGTCTCTAATGTTTATTTCATGATATAAAAAGAAGGAGGAAGCACTATGTTATTACTGTGACATACGTAACATTGCTTCCATGATATTCTGTGGTTCTGGTGACCCGTGTCTGAATCCTGCCCTAATGGTTCCAAAACTCATTTAAAGCCTGATCCAAATAGGTACTAAATACCTTGAAGTCCCACTGAAATTAGTAAAGACTAATATGTCAGGGTCAGTACCCTTGCTCTGTCAGCCCCTGAACTGATTTTTGTTCAATGGTCAATTTTAATTGTGGAGCCACAACTGGATATAGCCCAGAAAATGTGAAGATCTTCAAAATGTTAACTTTTTAAATTGAAGCTAGTGCTTCTTGAGAGAGGCATGGACTGGGAGTCTCAAGAGAAGGGAGCTGCCTTTATCCAAAGCATGAGCAGTTACAGCACAAGCAACTGCAAAAACATGGCTCAACCCTGCCCATGAGGAACCAGATGTAGGAATGAGAGAGTAGGGCATTCTTCATAGTTTCATAGTTAGTAGGGTTGGAAGAAACCTGAGCAGATCATCAAGTCCAACCCCCTGCCATGGCAGGAAAAAGTACTGGGATCAAACGACCCCAGCAAGGTGATTGTCAAGCCTTCCCTTAAAGACCCCCAGGGTAGGAGCCAGCACCACTTTGCTTGGAAGTTGGTTCCAGATCCTAACGGCCCTGACTGTGAAGTAGCGCCTCCTGATGTCTAATCTGAATTTACCCTCTGCCAGCTTGTGACTGTTATTTCTAGTCACTCCTGGTAGTGCTTGGGGGAACAGGGACTCCCCCAATGCCTGCTGGTCCCCTCTGACTAGTTTGTAACAGGCCACTAGATCCCCCCTCAGCCTTCTCTTGTGGAGGCTGAACAGGTTCAGGTCCCGTAGCCTCTCCTCATAGGGCCTACCCTGCTGCCCCCGATCATCTGAGTGGCCCTCCTCTGGCCCTCCATGCTGTCCACATCCCTCTTGAAGTGCGGTGCCCAGAACTGGATGCAGTACTCCAACTGCAGCCTGACCAATGCCGCATAGAGGGGGAGGGTCACCTCCTTGGACCTGCTTGAGATGCATCTGTGGATGCATGACAAGGTGCGGTTGGCCTTCCTGACTGCATCCCCACACTGCCGGCCCATGTTCATTTTGTCATCAATAATGACTCCAAGATCGTTTTCTGCCTCTGCACTGATGAGAAGGGAGTTCCCCAGCCTGTAGGTATGGTGCCGGTTGTTCCTCCCCAGGTGCATCACCTTGTACTTGTCAGTGTTGAAACCTATCCTGTTCTCATCCGCCCACCCCTGTAACCTGTCTAGGTCCGATTGCAGCCTATTCCTCCCTTCTAGCGTGCCCACATCCCCCCACATTTTAGTGTAGTCAGCTTGACACTAAATTTGAACAGGGTGCTTTTTACCCCCTTGTCCAAGTCACTGATGATGTTGAACAGTGCAGGCCCAAGGACCAAGCCTTGGGGGACCCCACTGCCCACATCCCTCCAGGTTGAAAATGACCCATCCACCACCACTCTCTGGGAGCGGCCCTCCAGCCAGTTGGTGACCCATTTGACTGTAGGTGTTGATACCACAGTCGCCCAGTTTTTTAGTGAGAATAGGGTGAGAGAAAGTGTTGAAGACCTTCCGAAAGTCCAGGAAGACTATGTCCACTGCTACCCCTGCATCTAAGGATTTGGTGACCTGGTCGTAGAAGGCCACCAGGTTGGTCTGACAGGGCCTGCCTCTAATGAACCCATGTTGGTTGCCCCTCAGCATAATCTCCGCTGCTGGCTCCTTGTGGACATGTGCCAGAATAATTCTCTTAAAAAGCTTACCCAGGATCGAGGTAAAACTAATTGGCCTGTAGTTTCCCGGGTCCTCCTTCCTCCCTTTTTTGAAGATGGGAACCACACTGGCCCTCTTCCAGTCCTCTGGCACCACACCAGAGCACCATGAATGCTCGTACAGCCGTGCCAGGGGTCCTGCAATGACCTCAGCTAATTCCCTCAGCACTCTGGGGTGGAGATTGTCCAGACCAGCTGATTTGAATCCATTCAGTCCCTCCAGAAGTTCCCTAACTAGATCCTCTCTGACCCATGGCCTAGGTGCACCTCCCCTGGGGCCTGAGGAGGGCCCAGAGTGGGGGTGGCTGTTCCGGTCCCTGCTCAGGAAAACAGAGGTAAAGAAGTCCTTAAATAGGTTAGCTTTGTCGTGTGGTGTGACGACCACATTACCTGGAACCTTCTTTTTGTCCTCTATGTATTTAAAAAAGGACTTCTTGTCCTTGATCCGGGAAGCTAGTCCCAGTTCCATTTCCGCCTTGGCCTTCCTGACTGCCCCCCTGCATCCCTGAGCAGTATAGTCCTCCCTGGTGATGGCCCCTCCCTGCCTTTGGGTGTACGCCTCCCTTTTAGCTAGAACACATTCCCAGATGCTTTTGGTGAGCCATGAGGGCTTTTGCGCCCTCCTGGCCCCTTTGATCTGTGTTGGGATTACCTCCCTTTGGGCTTGAAGGATTGTCTCCTTGAGGAACGACCACTCTTCTTGGACACCTGGCTCCCCTCTCCTCCAGGACCTCAGTGCTTCGCCGACTATTCTCTTTAGCTCATTGAAGTCCACCCTCCTGAAATCTAGGGCTGCTGCCTTGCTGCAGGCCTTTGCCACCTTGCGCTGGATGGTGAATTCCAGCAGGCGATGATCACTGTCGCCCAGGTGGTCAAGCACCCGCAGCCCCCTCACCAGGTCGTCATCTGTGGCCAGCACCAGGTCCAACAAGGCGTCTTCCCCTGGTGGGACTGTGCACCTCCTGGGTTAGATGGAGGTCCTGCATTTGGGCTAGGAACCTATGTGAGCGGTCAGACCTGGCTGACTGCTCTTCCCAGCAGATGTCTGGAAAGTTCAAGTCACCCGTGATGACCACGTCCTCTGACCTAACTACTCCATGAGCTGACTTAAGAATTCCTGGCCTAGCTCTTCCCCTTGGTTGGGTGGTCTGTAGTAGTCCCCCATGGTTAAGTCTCTTTCCCCTTGACTGCCTCCCTAAATGTAGACCGTCACACCCCCACCTTTCCTCCCTGTCCTGTCCCTCCTGTACAGCCTATAGCCCTTGACATTCACCGCCCAGTCATGCGTTGGGTCCCACCATGTTTCAGTGAGCCCCACTATGTCTGGGTTGGTGTCAGCTAGCAGGAGGGTAAGTTCCTCTTGCTTGTTTCCCATGCTATGAGCGTTTTTGTAGAGGCATTTGAGGCCTCATGTGGATGTGTGCACTGGCCTCCTAATCACAGCATTGCCCTGGCCCCTGTTGCTTACCTGTGTATATTTTCCACTCGTCGGTCTAGACTGGGCTATACTTGTGAGTGCTGCTTGGTTTAGCGGCCATGGTTCATGCTTGTTTCCTTATTGTTATTGGCCTCTGTATTCATAACAGCAAGGTCAATATTTGTTGTCAGGCATGCTTGGTAGTTTTGAATAAATGTCCTAACAAGTCATTTCACACAGGTTACTGAAAAGCCCTCATATGATAGGGACTTTTACACATTACTTCCCGGTCTGGATTCAGATCAGTGGTTTAGAGAAAAAAAGTTCTATATCCCATTATTGACCTTCTGAATACTCTTTTAATATACTTAAGTAATCCATAGCTGTCTCTCCTTTGCCCTGACAGTGATTGCTATTCTGTCAGGACTATTCTAGGACTATTGGGGCTTATTTGCTACCTTAGTACTAGATATTCCCCATACCTTTGTTATGGAATAAAATTTGCCAAAAACTGGTGGCAATTTGAGAGTGGCTATGAAAGGGTTAACACTTGACTGTACCCCATTCTGCTTCTGGGAATGGACAGAGAAGCCAGCAGCCATCTGGTCGCACAGTGGCTGTCCTTCTGTGCCTCCGTATAGTGAAGTTCTGGCAAAGAAAATCAGCTTCTCCCCTTGAGAGAGAAACCCCAATTTTGGAGGGCTGATTTTTGGGAAAAGTTGCTTATAGTATGCTAGTAAATATGGTAAATTTGAATCACAGGCACAGGCCCAGACACATGAAGAGCATACAAGGCAGTTTTCCCCTTTCTGTGCAGTGCACAAGGACCTTTCACAATCACTATCCCAGCATGCAGGTGGTCAAGGCCTCACTCTCCTCCAGAGGCAGATTAATGCATGGGCCCATGGGTCCCTGACAACCAGGGCCCCCCCGATGCCTGGGTTCCCTCAGAAAATGGCAGGTTTCCCCTTGCAGGCAGGCAGCATTATAGCCTGCAAGGGGTCCTGCTTGGCACTGCTGGGAGCGAGATTCAGGGGGCACCACATATATGTGCACACCTGTATGTGGCCAGGAAAACAGCCAGGCAGCATGGAAAGCAGCTCCCTACAGGGAAGCTGATGGGGCAGAAGGGGTATGGGGGCACAGACTGAGGCCCCCACAATGAGAGAGGGAGTGAGGCAGGGGCTGGGGACACTGCCCAACTAGGGCGGTGCATGAGTCCTGAGGCTGGGGCAGGGCCTGGGACGGAGCCACAGGCAGCTTATCCAGGGGACACGGCCAGGGGGAGGGTGGCTCCCTACTGCTGCACACACCTGCCAAGGGAGTCATGGGGAGGCTATGTGTCCCTCCGCCCATATTTGTATGTTTAGTGAATGTGGGCTGCCCACTGTGGGTTGGGGCTCTCCGCTCTGTTTCCTTTCCTTCGGGAGCCCCACGCTGGCTGCGTGCTCCCTGTACACCCGGCAGCAGTGGGGGTAGTAAGCTGTGCCCCCTCCTGCTGGGCAAGCAGGGAGAGCATGGCTAGCATGGGGCTACCAGGGCAAAGGCAGCAGAGTGGAGAGCCCCAAGCCCATGGCCGGCAGGCCACGTCCACCTCACCACACTTGGCTCTGCTCCAGCTGTGGTGGGGAGGACAGTGGGGAGCAGGGAGGAGCAGAAGGCATGTGCCACTCCACTCCCAGCCCAACTGGGTCCATTCAGCCTTCCCGGCAGGGCATGGAGGCCCACCTAGGCCTTCACAGTGGCAGCACCGGTAGCCGAAGGGGACCCTTCCCCAGCTGGAGTCCAGCTCCCAGGACATGGGGCCCAGCTGCAGGGGAGGAATGGCTTGATACATTCATGTTTATAATGGGGCACAGGGGGAGGGCCTCCTATTTTCTGTTTGCCCAAGGCCTCAAGAAATCTTAATCCTCCACTTCTCTCCTCCACACCAATCTGCTCCCAAAGGATGGTTCAGTCTGTGTTATTCAAATGTCATGAGACCATTCAGTGAGAGCATGGGAGCCTGTCACAAAAAACATACTTCTGCTGGGGTGGAACAGCTTCTAACATGGCTTAGTGGTTCATTGTCACAATTTGACACTAAATAAGGTAGAACCTCCCTGAAGTGAAAGTCATTTCACAGACTGCTCCAGTTCTGACACACTAGCCTGTTTTGTAGGGCAGAATTACCTGTTTCAAAAGGAGCCTGAGAAGGGAAGAAAGCTGGCAGAAGACTATGAAGTGGAAATACATGGCAGGAGGAGAGCTCAAGCACCCATTCAGGTTTCAGTAAGAAAGCTAGGTGTGAAACTGAGACGTCAGCCTGCAAAGGACACCACCTGGAGCCAGCATGCAGCATGCACATGGGTCCCACAGGTACCAACTCTTTATTGCCACATTTCACTTTATCTTCAGAACAGTTTTCCCCCAGCAGGTACAGACATTGAACAAACATGAGGCAGAATCAATCTGAGTTGCACAGTTTTCTGTAAGTGATGTAGTTTAAATTGGTACTGAACAGAATACACATTTGCCCTTGTGGTGGGGAGTGGAGGGGCATCTTAGACTGAGTTCTGCCATTTTTAAACCAGTCTATGTGTGCCAAACTTCTGTTCTGTTCCAGGTACAGACCAGTTTTGCATGCTGAACTTCTCTTCTGTTACACCTATAGACCAATTTCTGGTCACTTATACCAGTAAAAGTGTAATGTCTATACCTGGCCCAGATGTCAGTTTCCTTAGTTCCCCTTGGGACTGGTGCAAGACTAGTTGGATGCTTATTCTCACAACTGTTTTGCTAGTCTGAGTTCTGGCTTCACATGTGACAGATATCAGCCAGAAGTGATTCTCTCACTCTACTTGGCATTGGTGAGACTGCAGCTGGACTACTGCGTCCAGTTCTGAGCACCGCACTTTGACAAGGACATGGTAAATCTTGAGAGAGTTAAGCCATACGAAGAAAGGCTGAGGGATCTGGGACTCTTCAGCCTAGGGAAAAGAAGGCTGAGGGGGGACTTGGTAGCAGTTTACTGCTACATCAGAGGCATACATCAAGGGTTCAGTGAACAGCTGTTCACCAGAGCACCCTTAGAGAAAACTAGGAGTAATGGTCACAAACTCCTGGAAGATCATTTCAGGCTCAACATTAAGAAAAACTACTTTGCAACTAGGGTGTTCAGACTGTGGAATAAGCTCCCTCCAGAGGTACTGCAATCGCCTACCCTGGAGATCTTCAAAAGGAGACTAGGAGGTCACCTTGCTGGGGTCACCTGACCCCAGTTGACTTTCCTGCTTGGTGCAGGGGGCTGGACCCAATGATCTTCTGAGGTCCCTTCCAGCCTTACAATTTATATTGCTTAACATACTTTTGGAAGATGCTCAGGGTCTATTGTGATAAGCCTCCTATACAAGCCTCTACAAAACAGAACAAAGTGTGTATTGTACTGAACTGATGCAAAGAATGCAAGTGAAGGCATGACCCTTTTGGCAACGTCTTTTTCTTAAAATTTATGAACAAGCATAAGATAGTTTTGTGGAATAAAATTAATAATAATAAAAAGTATACCCATTTATATTACATAAAAATTGTTGAGTATCATGAAAACTATATAAAAATCATTGCAGATACAAAGACACAATTGAAGAGAAGTAGCCAAAACAGTTGTGCATGTTAAAGGGTCTCAATCTCTTTAAGGTTTCATTTTGCATCACCAAGAACAGTGAAAGTTTTACCATTGATCTCAATGGTCGTGTCCAGATGAGTGTGGACATTTGATTTCCCAGGGACAAGTAGCAGTGGCACCTTTCCAACGCAGCTACTTGCCCCCAGGAAACTCCCATGCCACGTGAACTTTGGCATGTGGCAAGTTACCCCTGGTTGGGTAGGGGAGGCTGGAGTCAACACTGGGCTGGCCCCAGCAGCCTTACCTGGGGTCCTGGGGGCCTCCTGGGGCTGCAGCAATGGTGATTCTGCCACACGGAGCCTGGCCAGCAGCCACAACCTGGCTCTGGGCAGCCCAGCTCCACCTTTGAGCGGCACGCATGCTGCCTCTGTGTGTGTTGCTCTGCTTTTTTTTCCCCACAGGATATCCAGGGGTGAAAAAAACCTGGGGGGACAAAAAGCGGAGCAGCACGCACGGGCAGGGCACCCTTGCAGCACAAATCTAGATGTGCAGTGTGGCGCTGCAAACATGTTTGCAGCACCACATACCTCATGGCCACACTAGTCTAGATGAAGCCAATGGGAGCAAGGGCAGGTCCTTGGACTACAGGAAAAAATAAAATATAAATGAAAAAAAGAAGAAAAGAAAAGAGCATATATTTAAGCATTTAGATACTACATTGAAATATGATAAGTACAAAGAGCAGGACTGAGGACCAAATCCACAAGGGTGTCCTACATGCCTTGATTTCAAAGTAAGAGTTAGGTTCCTACTTGCCTTTACAAATCTGGACTTGTGTTTCATTTTAGAAGATAGACTGAAAAAGCTCTTCATAAGTATGCACCTGTGAAGAACAGATGGTTGAAAAACTTCTTGCTGAAAAACAGTTTAGACAAAATTCCAGTTTTCAGTCAAAGTGAAAGTTTTGTCAAAAACAAACACCCCAAAACAAACAAATAATCCTGCTTTTAGTTTTTTTGGACAAAATCATTAATTTTTCCATTAATTTCCCACCATTTTGTTGACATGAGCAACAGGGTGGGGAAAATAAGTTTTCAGTCCCATTCTGCCATAAATGTTTTCATTTGCTGTCTCCTAGAGCACAGGGGCAGAAGGTCAGCAAGATAGCATCTCCACAGTGGAGGGCCAGTGGCACAGGGAAAAGGCAAACCATACATGCCGCCATGGGGACAGTATAAAGATAAACCACACTGCAGATAACTCTTCTAGGAAAGCTGCTATTGATTCTTCTCAGCTTCTAAGTGAGAAATCCCACATGACTTTCTATGGAGGCTATTTCCCTAGAAGAAAGAAGTCCTACAATGGTAAGAATTGACATTAACTTTAAATGCTGACAAGTCATAGGAATGATTTTACTGAGTTTCTTAAATGCTTCAGCAATGACAGGGTACCTAGGAAGTTTATTGTATGAATCACTATTGCCCAGCCTTTCTGGGTTTTGGGCAGATGAGTGTCACAGGGTGAGTCCATAGGCCCAATCCAGCATGGCTGCAGTCCTGTGCATGGCCCCAACCCTGCCAGATGGGGCCCCAACTCTGCATGCTAGATCAGGCCTGCCACCCCAGCACCAGTCTTGGCCCTATGCATGCTGGATCAGGCCCCAGCCCTGGCCCTGCATGTGCCAGCTCAGGGCTGCCACCCCAGCCCTACATTTCCTGGGTCAGGCCCACTGCCCAGATCTGGTCTGATCTAGTGCACAGGGCTATGCCATCTGGCCATGGGGCTTAGAAATTTGGCAGCAGGGTAGTGATAGCAGCAGCTGGATCTGGCTTGAGGGCTGGAGCTGCTATAAGCTAATGTTACACTGCTGACCATGGTTAACATGGTCACCTCTGGACAAATGGCACAAAAAATTATCACTTAAGCCACATTTTAATTTAATTGGAAAGAAAACCATAAAGCAATGCAGCACTTACAAAACGCATGAGGAAATATTTTTTCTCCTATGAAACATGGGTGCATCAGTCATTGAATATAATCCCTTTCTCCCCCATTGCAGATTCAGTGACAGAGTAAGTGCTGTTCCTTATCAGATGCTACTAATATATATGTATTATTTCATATTCTTTTTATATTGTCTCTCATTTTTCATAGTAAAAGGAGGACATCTGAAGAATCAGGATGGCCAAGAACAAGAATCCCTTCTTCAAACTAGCATTTTTCCTCCTCTCCCACATGCCATGGACTCAGGGCAAGATACAGTCAGGGAAGAGCATAAAAAGGTCAGTTTTTTAGAAAAATACAGCAGTTCCTGGGATAGTATATAAAGTGGTCTCACTTCTCGGGTCATAATATGAATTTAGTCAGTGACTGATACATAGAAATTAATGCATCACAGCTTCCTGGTAATGCTGACTGCGCTGTCACAGTTCGTGTCACACAACGCTACTACACAGTAGTAATGAGCTACTGTGCAGTAAGTGTCTAGTGTAGATGCAGCCACCTTTTAAAAAAACAGCTGCTGGAAACTGAAGTTTACATCGTATGTGAAGAGATACAGTAAAAACAGCTTCTGCTTCTGGTCATAACTTCAGTGGAAAACAGAATGCACCACTGAAGCATGATTTGTAAAAATAACAAACTTACACCACCATTTAGAGCCAGGCTTAGCATAAAGCAAGAGATGTTTTGACTTTCTCTTTACTGCCTCAATCCTGGCCAGAAGAACCCTTGCTATCAAAACACTAGGCTTCTCCACAACAGGAAATATTGCCTGGTGGGTGGCTGTGGTGGATCACCTTTGGGTGCTTGCCATTTTAAGGGCTGAAGCAGGCTGTAGAGGAGCCTGCAGGTGGGAGCAGGTCCAATCAGGAAGTCAAATGATAGTCAGGAGGCCACCTGATTAGTGGAGGGCTGGGAACCCCAGGTATAGGATCAGGCCCAGGGAGCAGGGCCAGCCAGTTGCAACTGGGGAGCTGAAGAGTGAACATCTCCCAGCCAGAGTACTGCTGTTCCCAGAACACCTGGAGGTCAAGGGTAGGAACTATGGGGATGGAGAAGGCTCCTAGTCCTGAGGAATGATCTAAAACTACATGCTGCTGGGGTTGGATGGTAGGCCTGTGCAAAGCGGCTAGTATTCACTTTGGATTCAGCCGATTCGGGGGACAGTGATTCAATTCGGTGATTTGAATCACTGTTCCAAATCGATTTGGCCAAATCTGATTCAGAGATTTGTCTGCTGCCAAATCAGTCGACTCTCTAAATCACACAAGCCCCATCCCTCATCGCTTTCAATGGGCGCCCCGCCTGCCCCAGTTTCTGGCTCTTTGGGGAAAAAAAAGCTCGCACTCACCCGGTGCTGCCTGGGGGGGGGGGG